CAGCGCCCTCCTCCTCAAATTGTCTTAAAGACATCCGGAACTCGGCTAAAGGAAAATAAACCGGAGACTATTTTTTTCTGAATTTATTTATGGCGGGTCCCGTGGCTACCGAATTAGAGGAGCTAGTGACCTTTTTATGCGATCCAGGAGGCTTTGAGAAAAAAAATAATATCCGAGATAACGTTAGCAAAGGCGGCTCTGTTTTTTCCGCGCCGTTAACCAGCTCACGTTCCAACCTCCGGATTCTGGCAGAAATTTATTTATGGTCGGCAATTCATTCCCTACATGTTCTGCAATGCGCCCCTTTCATCCCTAGTATTAGCTTTGGTAAAATAACAATGTTACACTGTATAATGTACAATTTAACGTGTAATGAACTTTTTTTATTTTTCTTACGCCTGTTAACTTTTTTCGTCATGAGTCTTCTTTAGCAGCTTTTGGGCCTATTACAGGCGACAGTAGAGATCATTTGGTTCTCTCTTCTTCGAGATATCCAGGGAACAGGAGGTTTACTAATCGGACGCGATCACAATTCACTCCCTCTTCATCAGGAACTTTCCTAAAGGATGATTGGCAATCTTGCATCCAGTATTTTATGAGATAGGGGATTATGAGCCCTATACCCAACTCCAACCAAGAGGACTTATGGTGTAAGTCAAGAGCTATGTCACAGGGGTAGCTCAGCATTCTATGAATGTCAGAGTGGAGACGTACATAGACGAGAGGCCTATGTAGTCGAATAGAGCCTGCACTTATTAATTTTAATTTATTAATATTATTTTATTTTTTAATGTAATAACTATTTATAGCCTCATTAATTGTTTTATCTATATATGTACTGTCATTTATATTCATGAAATATCAATAATATACATGTAATATATAGTTTATTTTTCCTGTTGGGCTTACAGACCTTGTAGATCATTCACCATCTTGAACACCATTCTTCATTTTTGTCTCTCTTGCGATATTTCAATCAAGCTACTTGCACGCAGCTCTTCAGCATCTTTGTTAGTTCAATCTATCCCTCCCTAGGCCCCACACCTCATTGGCCACTCGCAATAAATTATTGAGCCTTGGATGGGACCTTTTGCCCAACCCTCCTTATTCACCAGACCTAGATCCAAGTGACTACCACTTATTCCTGTCTCTGCAGAACTTCATGAATGGAAAGAAATTCCAAAGGGAAGAGGACATCAAAAACCACTTGGATCAGTTTTTTAACAATGAACTCCAGACATTCTATGAACATTATGAAGTTAGTGGAAAGATGGAAAAATTCATATTAATTAATGACCTATATATTGTAAATTAAAATTAATTTTATGTCTATGGTGCATTGAGGTTTATTTCATCCTGAAAAACCGAAAGAACTTATTTATCAGCCCAATTCTTTTATAAAAGATTCCAAGAACAACATTATTAACATTTGGCGAAGACCATGGTTGTAATGTTGGATCAACAGATCTAGTGAACTGCTCCTGCTTTGAGCCGAATGAGCCACTGGAAACATCAAAGGCCTGTACCGCATCCTTCATAGGGGCTGATACGGAACACGTTCATTGCCGAAAACCGAAATGTAGGTTAATGGCTTTCGAATTGGTAGTTAAAAATTTTAGGACAATTTGTAGTTCCGTTCATCCTGGAAGCTGCTAACAGCCCGTACGCAGAGAATTTGTTCCGCTCTTTGGGAAGATTTGTCATGGACAGAAACATCTTGCATCTCCAGCCCAATCTCTAATCGTCAGGAAAAACTTGAACATGTCATTACCTAAAGAAGAGAATGGAAAGACGTATCTTGATATCTTTTAGATATTTGAGCTGCTTATTAGTTTAATAATCTATTGTATGTTTTATATGCCTTATCAAAACCAAAATATCAGGCACATTTAATTCGTCTAGCTCAATTGATCGATTAAATATACATGTCGGACATAAAGTAAAAGAAGAGACTCGGGATGCACTAATTCAACGTAATAAATGTGCTAAAGGCGTCATTAAAGAAAGATCTGAAACAATCAGGATGGCAACTGCCGCCCTTCGAAGACGAAGCCGAAAAGTTTAGAAGTCAATGTTGGTGTTTTCGAACATTTATTCAAAATAATACTTCGATAATCGAACTGGAAACTCACATATGAAATATTGTTTATTAGTGAAATTTTATTTTTGATTAGCCAGTATAATTAATAAAATATTCAATTCAGATAACTAGTTGCCGAATTCGCAGAAAATTTTGTTCAGTGAAGAAATAGCAAAACAATATGGAAATAAGTAGTTCTAATGTATTATATAAGGAAGAAATTAATATTTTTTCCTTGGTCGATTACAATATTCCATTAAACATAATAGACAAAAATATTTTTAAAAATTGTTTTGCTAAGACCTATTTTTAAACGCTGACTGAAAAGATAATAAAAGTAATAAAGAAAAAATAATGCCCTGATCATGGTATTTTCTAAATTATTAAAAAAAATAAAATGTAAGGAAAACTAAATGTCTTTAAGAAATAATAAAGTAAATGTATCAGCCAGGAAAAAAAGTGTAGTAGACTATTCTACTCCTAAACGCAATATCTTTAAAAAGGAAGACATTAAACATACCAAAACTAATGGGCTGTATCTTTGTTAATAATTGTCCGATTTTTTGTTTGTTTTGTAGGTAGTTTAGTAACACTTCTAATTATCATGAGTACAATCAAGAAAAAAAATGCACACTTTTTGAGTTATTCCCAAATAATATTTCTTTTTCTTCATAACTTTTTTTCCAGAAATTTCAGTGAGATATGACCATTTTTCGCAAGTGAAGGAGAAGAATATCTTCCAAATGAGTGGTCAATCATTGGATTTGATGAATAATTGACAAAGTCATGGGGTACCGCCAAAAAAAAAAAAAAAACCTTTTAGAAATAATTAGCAATTAATTTGAAATTAAATATTTCATCGATATATTCAGTTTAATATCGAAATGCCTGTCACTTTGAAGCACCTGTGTTTTTAGTAAAATTAACAACGATAATTTATTATAAAACTATAATTTCTTTATTTTTTTCTGTATGATCTAGGATACGTTATATAATTACAAAATTACACATTTTATTTGTAATTTGTAGTATAATAATAATTTGTAAAAATATAATTTTGTTTTTTATTTGTTTATTAATAATGGTAATGACCAGTGTTTTTTAATACAGATATATAGGAATGCATTCATACGTTAATGACAAACTAAGTGTACCTTATACTAATATTTACATTTTAATTAAATTAATTCAAGAAGTTTCAGTTTTCATTGAAGTCTATTATCAGTCCTTTGAATATTTCCTTTTACTAACGGACGTCCTAAGTGTTTATATAAATTATATATGAATATATATTACGAATAAATAGTTTCATGGAATGAAGTTGGTATTAATTATGGCTAACTGACCTCATCTCTAAACGTCGACTACTTCCATGTCTTATTTTATCGATTAATTGATTAGTGGTTTGGTTTATATTTTATTACCTTTATTACTTCCTTAATGTTATGAACACTGATAGTTGACACCGAAGAGCAGACTGGAAGAGGGCGGATGACGATCCGAGTTGACTACTGGAACGGACAGCCAATGAAGAAGGACGAGGAAAGAGCTCAGGAAGTGGAGGTACGCCGCACGTAGTTCCGTTTTATTATAGCCCGCAGGTCGTAAGGATGCCTTGCGTTATATTCTTTACGGAAAAGTTCTGCACGGGCCTCACTGGGAGATATTTTTACATCGATGATCATGAGAAAAAAACAATTATGATTGTTTTCTACAACTGATGACAACCAAAATACAATATTTTTTAAACACCCTTAAGATTTTTAAGGTCTTTTAAAATATCAGGTCCAACAACCTTCAAAATCTTGTTCTTAATGTACTAGAATGGATAACACCCAAAATTTCGTCAGAATCTCAATTTTTCTGTTGATTTCTTACCCAGTTATATCCATCCCTATTAGTCCGAGGCACAGACCCCTTTATATCGCATTATTAACATCCGCCTGAAACTTCGTAAATAGTTTCATCTAATCGTAACCTACAACTATTTTATTTACGAAAACTCTTGAAATTCGGGCGTTTTTAATCTAGAGGGAGGCAAACTTTGTCTGTTTAATTAGGTACTAAAAACTCGTAAATACCCATTTGCTTTCTACTTGGACCGTAAGATAATTTGATCACAAAATCGATAAAAAATCTTGGATCGTTTGCCCTATATAACCTCGTTATTTTAAAAATTTGGGGGTGTAGGTCACGCCAAACGGCTAAATATTTTTGAAGGTCACCTTTTTTATCGATTTTGTGATCAAATTATCTTACGACCCAAGTAGAAAGCAAATGGGTATTTCCGAGTTTTTATTACCTAATTAAATTGACAAAGTTTGTCCCTCTCCAGATTTAAAACACCCCAATTCCAATAATTTTTTAAAATAAAATAGTTGTAGGTTACGATGAGATGAAACTATTCACGAAGTTTCAGGTGGATGTTAATAATTCGGTAAAAGGGGGTATGTACCACGGATTATATAATTATGACTGTTGCTTGGGTTGTAGGCTCCCTACAACGTAAATAACAAGACTTCATACCGACTTGCAAACACCTATCAAGCCTCTTTATTCCCATTTGCGTTATAAACTTTACGGACATAACAACAGACTGATAAGCAACATGGCCATGACCGACACGCTTATCAGAAGGCGGCTAAAAAGGATGAGAGATCTGTTTTCGTAAATCAAGACACTTAACACCTGGAAGAAATATTGCTAATTACAATCCTTCCCCATGCCTTGAATTGCTTCTCATCGATTGTCAGCACGGTTGATTATTATAATTTTCGTCAGTGACAGATGTGAATTGAATAATGAAGAGAGAAAAAAATTCTATTGTTACTTTAAAAAGTCTTTTGTTCTCAGAAATAAATCTTTATTAACTTATTTTTATTACATTTCTATTGCAAATAAGGTATATGACAGGAAGTCGGGAGAATAGTGGCCATTAAATAATTAATTACTGTAAAAACCCGAGGGTTGGCCTTAATCTCGGTCTGATCAACTTCTTGCCCAACAGTTGAGCAAGAAACATCACATTCATACAAAGTACTGTACCCGAGATCTTCCATTGGTTGCTACAGTGTTGGAGACGTATAACAAGTCCTGTAATACTTCAGTTGAAAAATAAGAGTACAGTTATGAAGAAATATATCCAGAAATTTTCTTCTATCAAGCATTTTATTTTAATAACCCATTTATCCGTTGTTTTTTTCCTTCAGATCCAAGCAAAAAGATCCATCGATAGCGAAATGTAAAGGAAAAAATCCGGTTAAATATCTTTTAATTTTGAACCATAAAATGCTAGTTTCGACTTGAATGAGCTCTAGCCCAGACCATAAATCAGAAGAGGCCCATTCTCCTGACGAATTACGATCTCTTGTACCATACCCCAGGATCCTCCCGCCACTCTCTCCAGAGCTCCAGCCTTTGAAGGGACTAACAATAGATCGTTGGGAGGAGTTCTGTCTCGGTCATGCGAACCTCTGTCACGCACCTTAACCGAGGTTGCAGCTTCAAATTGAAACACTAAATCACAAGCGATTCCTCTCATTTAGGATTGGGAAGGAGAAAATGTCAGCTATTACAGATGTAAATCGATGAATGTGTAGATGGCTGTTGGGGATCACTCGCCAATTGGCAGTAATTTGGGATTGCTAAAATCATATACAATTAGGATTCATGCAGGTATATATTCATTCATGTCAATTCATATCACTTACAAGGAATTTCAACAATGCTGTTTTGAGAAGAGGAACAATGTTTGAATCAGTTATGTAAGGATTTATCAGGATTTGTAAAATTAAAAATCTTCTCCGACAGATGAACTACTCAATATTTAAACCAGTAATTAAGAACTTACGTTGTTAGTTCGAAAGAAGGTTAGTTTAAATAGTTTTTCTTTCTTTCACTATTCGATATGAAATTTTCTACAAATATTGAGTAAAAAAAAGAAAAGTATTTCTGAGTCTGCGACTGGACAGGCTAACGACGTATTCTACAGACTACAGCGACAAAACGCTTCAAACGATTTTGACGACACTTAAAGTCTTTAATTTAAAACCATATTAATTTTCACATATGTAATCGATCACCGAGAGAGGTTAAAATGATGTTAAATTTTCTACAAGAATAAAAATAAATCGGCCAAACAGAACGAGCAAGTATAAGCAAAGTAAACCAGTATTGAATTCTGTGAACTGTATTTAAATGTACACATTTAATACAATATTTTTATTTTATTATTTGACAAATTTGTAGTGTTTTAAACTTTACATTTTATACTTCTTTGTCGATTTATCGAGTTTATTATCAAGATATGCCTTTAGCATCAAAGATCCAACAATAAGCTGTATAAAATTAGGCTAGTTTAATCTGAGTACATTTATTGGCTAAAATGTTTGCTGAAAATTTAAAAAAAAATATATATATATCCCAACAAAATATGCAATTTAATTATATTTATATTTTATTATTTTCTAAATATTCAAATAACATAATTTGAAAATTATCTATCTTTTTCAGAGCTCTAAGATCTTCTATTGTCAAAAAATAAATACAAAAATACTATCAATACAATAATGAAAGAAACTCTGTAGGAAACAAACCGTGGTGAATACACTAGTTTGCACTTGGCTAAAATAATCGATTAATTCTTTGACCATGCTATGATATCAAGCAATCGCTAAATTCAAGCACGACCTCATTGCTATCGTAATCGAGATCGAAATGAGTTTTCCCTTTAAATAACTTCAATCAAGTAGGTACCTTATCCTTCCCTAAGATAAGAATATTGCTGAGGTAATATCTCAACATGTTGCAGACTGAAGTAATTTATCAAGCACCAGTGAATCATACCAATGTTGAATATAACTTCCTGTATATTGCCAGAAAAAAAAGGCGATAATAATTAACTTCAACAGAATACCTAAATGAAATTTCATCATAAGACAGACAACCAACAATCAACGGTACTTTCGAAATTAAAACTAAACTTTCATTCTTCATCATTTTTCATTTATTTTAGAACGTTAACTAAATAAAAAATCTAATGTGCCCACTGACACGACTTTCCTACCTACTTCAGAAAAGTTTTTATATCTTTGCATGTGTTGATGAAGGAACAAAAAAAATTGAACTAGATTTATTTTCCTGAAAATTGATCAAAGAAACAATTTGAGTACGATTTATTTGATAAACTAAAGCAATGTAAACCGGCTCGAGATAGATCAGTGTAAAAATTTCAATACTCTCTAACATTGGTGATCAAAAACCTTTTGCCATAGCTTAGTATTGTATTTTATATTGGGCAGCAAGATGTCGGATGGTCGAATGACCAATGACTATGGCATAGGAAAAAAAAAGTATTGTCAAACAACAAATTATGTTAAAAATAAAGGCAATGGTCAAGCTTGTGTGCTGCGGGCAACATATTTTCTTACTTTCACTTAGTCATCTTTTTTCTCTCATTCACCTCTTTCTATAACTTCGTTAATAGTTGTCCAGATTGAACGATTTTCATGCAGTTTTGTAGGAAATTTCATTACCTTTCAAAAGTTTTATTATAAATTTTAACATGTAATATATATTTAGCGAGTTAGGCCCCAAAACATATTTCTTTTCTTTATAATTTTTGTTCCTGAATTTTCTCGGGACTTAAGTCCATATACGGAAATTGCAAGGACAATCATTAGAACATTATAGGAAAGTTTCATCAAAATCGTTTGAGCCGTTTTCGCGCTACAGTCTATAGAAAAAGATGTTTTTCATTTATTGCGCAACAGCTATTGGGCATGAAGCATCCAATTTGTGTCACAATTTCTGTCACAGGCATCAGTAGTCAAAACCCTACAAAATAAAAAAAGAAGCAACACAATCGGTTCAGTAGTTCCCAAGAAAATCTTGGCACAGACAGATAGGCAGACAGAACAATGGCTAAAAATGTGTTTTTCGAGCTCAGGGGGCTCTGAAACATATAGATCCGTCGAAAACCGCATTTTGGAAATTTGACCCGATTACAATACTTTCCTTACCTAGTATATGTAGGAAAGTAAAAAGTTTGTAAGTTTTCATTAAAGATATCCATTCACTTTTTGCTTTGACCAATAAAATAAACAATCCATTGATTGATTGCTCCACTACTGATGAATGAACAGTACTGACCTCTTGAGCGTGGGGTGCTTGGCCTGCCCGTTGACACACTTGTGCTTGGGCTTCTCGTGAGTGGCGGGCACGCCGTCCTGGGCGAGGACACTGCTCAGCGAGCTGGCGCTACTCTCTGCAGACATGGCGGAGCTCTTGCTCACCGTCTTGATGATCCTCTTGGGGTGGCCGTTGGTGAGCGGGAGGTCTAGCGGGCCCGGCGGGGGCTTCTCGTCCGAGGGCACCATGTAGGACAGCATCCTGTCCGCTTATCTCATAGGTCTGTCCGGCTATGAGGGGTCTTCAAATCTGCAACAGGCAAAGGGGGAACATATAAAATCATAAATATTGACAGCCAAATAATTAACTCTGATAATATTAGAATTTTCATTAATTATAACAATTGCGTAAACATGAACCAATATGTCCTTATGTTAACAACAAGAGGCCGCTCCCTTTCCACAGATTTGAAGAATATTTCAAATCAATAAATCAAAAACAAATTCTATTTCGCATTTTAACAAGAAATATATAAAATGTATATATTATAAAGGAAGGAGGTGGCGGTCAAAAAAAGGCTAAATAGTGGTAAAACTATTTTATTAAAAGCTAGTTGAGTAGTTAAAAAGCTAGCTGAGTTCTAAGGGAAACTCGTAGCTGTTTAGGATCTGGCTACTTAGTTATACTTTGTTTATACAAATTTTCATCATTAATATTCCTATGTAATTTTTAATCACACTTTTTACAATTTTAATAAGTTTGTTCATATTGTTGATATTTTTTTATGTATTCACACTGTTTATAATTTTTATCTAAATATCATGTAACTTCCATATTTTTGTATCCTTTTTTATCTTGTCCGCTTATCTCATAGGTCTGTCCGGCTATGAGGGATCTGCAACAGGCAAGAGGGGAACATATAAAATCCTAAATATTATCAGCCAAAAAATTAACTCTGATAATCTTAGGAATTTTCATTCATTCTAACAATTGCGTAAATATGAACCAATATGTCCTTATGTCAACCACAAGAGGCCGCCCTCTTTCCACAGATTTGAAGAGTATTTCAAATCAATAAATCAAAAACAAATTCTATTTCACATTTTAACAAGAAATATATAAACTGCATTATAAAGGAAGGAGATGGTCCGGGGTGGCGGTCAAAAAATGGCTAAATAGTGGTAAAACTATTTTATTAAAAGCTAGTTGAGTAGTTAGTTGAGTAGTTAAAAAGCTAGCTGAGTTGAAACTCTGGCTACTTAGTTATACTTCGTCTATATAAATTTTCATCATTAATATTTCTATGTAATTTTTATCCACACTTTTTACTATTTTAATAAGTTTGTTCATATTGTTGATATTTTTTTATGTATTCACACTGTTTATAATTTTTATCTGAATATCATGTAACTTCCATATTTTTATATCCTTTTTTATCTTATTCGTTTTAGCCCTGAAGAAGACCTGCAAAGTTAGGTCGAAATGTTGGCTTTTAATAAAATAGTTTTACCACTATTTAGCCTATTTATGACTGCCACCCCGGACCATCATATTATAATGCAACGGTCAACTATTAAATATTCAATATAAAATGCATTGTTTATCACTGTATTATCAGAAATTATGTTAATCGAATAAAGTAATTTAATATTAACTATATGTTTTAAGTACATTCACTTTCTTCTATTTTCATAACTTCTTTCCACGGAAAAATAAACCAATTTTTTCTGAAGTTAATTGAAAAATGACACTTCATGTTACCACCATTCATGTTACCACCATCTTGCATTTATATCTATTTCATTTAAAATGCAAATAACTTTTGTATTTGAAATACGTTTTCTGAAAATAATTTTAATGCTTTGTAATTAAAATGCTGTATGAAAAAATAAGACACTTGATATTTGAAATACTGTATTTAAGCCTGTCTTCCTATTGGGGAGTACCCAATCCATAAGCATCACCACTCTCCTCTTAAGATTCTAGAAATTTCGAACTAGAAATACTAATCATTAAGTGTTTATTGTCAGATAATAATGCCAATTATAAAATTGAGCAAACGAGTTTAAAAAATAATAATAGAATTTTTATTGAGAAAAACTGCTGAACTATCTATCTATTCTGGTTCTCGGAAACGATGGAATTTCTTGAATGAGGTACCAATTAAAATGAATTCCACGGAGAAGTGACAAGAAATCCAAATTTCGATCAGTATATTCCTTCAAAAGCTTTAATAAAAGTCATTGAAAAAGTTTTCTCTCTCTTTTCTGTACATTTTTAACATTCGGGTTCTGATCTTTCTGATATTTAAATACTCAGATTCCTAAGGACTTGTCCTGGTTAGCACTACAGCGTTGAAGTGTAGAAGTGGTTCATTTGGGACAAAGCCTCAACAATTAAAAAAAAACTTATATTTTTTTAATAGTCCGTATTTAATGGTAAGAATGATCAAAACCAAATAATTAATTAAACTATCACAACAACAATGTATTTTTAATTTATAACGCCTATAATTCAACTACTAAATGTTTTTTGGCAATAACAAGGCTAAGGATCGGACAAACTAAGGTAAAGAACAAACAGCTGTCTGCTAGAAGGAAAACCACCGCGGAGAAAAACTGCCGAAGACAAACTGATTGCCAAGAACACATTGACAGACTGTGCACTACACCAGGACATCAGAAGAACACTTGGAATCAATGTACAGGATCTAAGAACGTTAATAGGAAACGACAATTGATCCATTGATCCAAGTTGTGAAGGAAATAAAAGTTTTCAAAGAATTGTAAACGTTACAAATGAATGGTGCCTCTAGCGGCTAGAGTCAAGCCTAATGTACATGTCACCATAATGTTAAATAAATAAATAAATAACAACTAAATGCAAGCATTGTCTC